CAATAAGGTTTTTCGAATTCTTTTATGACCTCTTAGCAACATCTTTTGATAAACCAACCCTTTATATACCCTTTCTAACTATTGTATAATTTGCTTTGGACGCTCGTCTCCATGCTCGTTCATTAACATCCTGTTTTTCCGGGTGTCTTTCAAAATACGTGACTCTTGTCAACACTTGCCGGTCAACCCCCCCCCCCCCCCCCATCGAGTTAGCATTTGATTATTCGTCACATTTTTGAAACATTTTGCTGACATAAACAATAACCCTAACTTATTTTTAATTTTGTTTGACACTCCTAGTAGACACACACACACACAAAATAATTATACATAAATGCGATTGCACAGCTATGTGAATGAATTTGCCGAAAAGAGTCTCCTCGCTGAATTTTGTTCTTATATTTATATCTGGATGGGTATTTTCCATGAAAGTAGAAAAGGATAAAGACAGCAATTGGTAGAAATAACACAACATACTGAATAAGATTCCTTCTTGAAGTTTTCATAACATGTATCAATAACTTTTGTGGATGTGAATGCTGAAAACTTTGAAAACGTCTTTGCACTGAAGTTGAATTCTATGTAAATAAGAACGAATGTTTCAGGGAGGAGTCTCTTTTCAACGAATTCATTCACTTAGCTATACACTGAAAATTATATTTAATTATTTTGGTATATGTGTGTAAATTCAATCTGTGAAACATAGCATGAGAATAAAAAATGTTTTAGAGTAATGTTTATATCATCAAAATATTTCAAAATGGTGATGAATAATAAAATTGTAACTAGGCAAATGCTGAAGATTAGTAAGTTTAGACTATGGTTTCATAATAGAGCTACAGAAAGGTAACAATGGATCAATAACGAGTGCCCTAATTGAACACCTATTCAACTCTGGAGTCTCAGTGTATCAGGAGTATTCATTCAAAGTCAGAGGAAGCCTCCCGAAAACAGTATGCTTCTGTATAATTCGTCTTCTTTGCATCGCTGAAGCTCTGGTCATTCACCCAGAAAAATCGGAGCTATGCATACAAAAGATAATTACTCAACCACTTCTATTATCCTGGTAACAACGTTGTTGATTTTTGATGACTTGATTTTGTTTGTTTGCGTGTTTCTTTAATTGCTTATAATTCTTGTATTCACTCAGAACTGTTACGTAATTTAGTACTCTTTACTTTGCAACTATGTGTATCCTGAGTGCAACTCAATCATTAAACTATTCATATTATTACACTACTCCATCTTAACAACTGTTTGTGACTACTACCTTCGTTATCACCCTAGTTTAATTAACGCCCAATTTTCTTGACCGTTTTGGTACTACGTAACTCTATCCAGTACTTTGGATTTCCCGACGCCTTCACGATTCGGATCGGGAACCCTGACGTATGTTCACAGAAAAAATTCCTCCATCCTCTCCCACTACTTTAGATACAATTCCAGGTTCAAGTTTTATAAATATTTTGTTATTAATACTATTTTCACTGAGTTTTCCATATGACATTTATAATCATCATTCTGATTACAGGATTTCATCATGAACTGACATCGATTACAGAATAATTGGTAAACCTGGAAAAACTGGACTGCTGTTTCGTCCCAACTCGTAGCTCTTCACTGCGCGCACCCACAGTGGTTCGAATCCAGGATCTTCTGGTCTACGAGCTCATTCTTTAACCAGAAGATCTTGTGTCCGAACCGCGGTGGGTACGTACTTTGAAGAGTTCCAAGATAGGACGAAACAGCTGTCCATTACTTCCTATAGGCTTTCCAGTGGTTGTCTAACTGATGTCAGCTCATGACAAAATCCTGCAACCAATCAAATCAAATGCCTACAAACCAATAATTGAATCATAATTTTTTCAACTAGTCTTCTGTTTATTCCCTTCACCTAATGCGTAAATTATTTTGATATTTGTCACCATCCTCTGTCATTTGCCTCTAATTTTCCTGAATGTTTCTCGTATCACGTAACCTTAGTTTAAAATTACCAATCTTCAACCCATTCGTCCCCTAGTTACAACGTTTTGATTATTCATCACTGTTTTAAAATATTCTAGGGATGTAGACTATTATTCTTGTGCTGTGTACATACACAAAATATTTATACATAATTTTGATTGTAAACCTTAGTGAATGAATCTGCTGAAAAGAGTCTCTTAGCTGGACTGTTTATTCCTATTTTCTTGTCTCTACGGGTATTTTATCCATGCAACAGACTTTCTAAAGCTAGTAATTTCTCCACAATACAATGACGACAGACAAATATAATGCTGTCGATGCGTCGTGTAGTTGTTAAACACACTTCAGTGCATCCACATTGGTCAGACTCTTAAGCAAAATAATAGGTATGTGATGATGGTGAGTAACTGGCATTCTTATTGAAGGTGTTTCATGGAATAAGCAATTTTATGATGTCTTTTTTGCGTCAATGGCTTATCAATAGAAGGCTCGCCAACCGCTCATGTGGTTGAGAGTTCGACCCCCTGCCGTCACACTCCTTTACCCCGGTAAAGAGGGAAGGTTGAGTGAACATGAAGCTAGCAAACCCATCCCGTAAAAATAAAAAACCCTGCTACCGAAACTCCAAAGTCCTATTTTGAAGCTCATTGTTCTACTAGGAACGTGAAAGAATAGAAAAACGGTGTCTCTTATGATAACGAAATTAAAAGTCAAGTTCATTCCCACGAAAAGGAAAGTAATCAGTCTGTAAATCCGTCTTGGTAACGGCCTTCCGCTTATCATATCTCTTATCATTTTATTTAGCCAGTTAACATATTATAAACAATGACAACGCTTAAGCATCAGAGATACAATCTATTAGTCTAGGTTTATTCCCAACTTCATTCCGTTTTCTTAAAAACAACATCATGAAAATGCTAAAAAACTTGCATAACTCACTTTGACGTTACTTATTTACGGGCTCTAAATCTTAACCCACCCATATTAATACTAATTTAGGAGACTAATTTTGGATACAAAGTTTGGCTATAGAGTTTGCTAATTTTCTAATATCATTAGGAGATTAAGTTTATCTAAAAACAGGTGACGTACACACAAGGTAAGAGGCAGATAGATGTAAACGGAAACAGTATAGTCTGAAAATATGTGTTTTGATTTTCTTTTATCTGTACAAATCTATATTTCTCATTCTCTTGATGTTTATCTTTTAATTCTATACAGTTTGGAAAGTAACTATATGCTTCTGACGTAATTGACAGAGAGACCAACCGAAGTCGTCTTAGTTTTGTTAAAGCTACCGCAATTGGATGAATGAAACCTAACCTATATGTTCAGAAGGAATCTGTCATAGGACTTCAAATACCCTGGTTACTCTACCTTTAGCAACCTTCTTCTAAATCCTCCTTGCATTTCTCCCTTGACTTTCACGTTAAACCTAATGTTTGATCCTCTGATTTCTATTCACCGTATTACATCGTCATCTTTTCATTAGACTTCGTATACACCTAACTTTGATTTTCCAGTCTTATGAGATTTATTCATTGTATTCTATTATCTCTTATTGCGATTCTTGAATAACAATCAGCATAAATGGGAGGAACCTGAAAGAAACAACCTCTTTTACCTACCTGGGAAGCATCGTCTCAACTACAGGCGGATTTTCAACTCCAATGTGAAGTCAGTCAGTGCTACTATACGGATCAGAGACTTGCACTGCGCGTCATGAAGAGCATCTCAAACAAACTACAGACCTTCATTAACAGTTGTCTTCGCTCAATACTCAAGATCAGATGGCCGGCGAGAAAAGATCAGCAACAGGGATCTCTGGAAGCGAACTAACCAGGAACAGATAGTGAAACAAATATGTAGGAAGAAATGGAGATGGATTGGCCATACTCTGAGGAAACCATCAAGTGACATCACTAGACAAGCCATTGCTCGAGTGGAACCCGAAAGGGAAGCGGCGAGTTGGTCGTCAGTGCGAGGGTGGGTGACTTGGAGGATATCATGTGAAGAGGAGATGGAAACGTGTGGGCAGACATGGAGCCAAATGAAGACTCTAGCAAAGAACAGAACGCAATGGAGACGCACGGCTGAAGCCGTTTGTTCCTCTAGGAATTAAAGGATACAATAATAATAATAATCTCTTATTGCGCAATGATCGCTGACTTATCACCACTCTGAGAACAAAGTTGTCGACATTTTAAGAGAAATCATAAGGCTCTTTATCTTTATACATACATATATATATATATGTATCTTAGTAGTTTGAGATGACCTTATCATCATCATACTTTGCTTCCCTATGACTGCATTTCAACAATTCTTATTGGCAGACTCATGCATGATGATAAAACTACATTATAGCTGGTTTACACTATGTATGATAGTTTTGATGCAGCTGAAGAGAACTGGAGAAATAAAATGGATCAGTGTTTTATTCCGCACTAATATTTATTCTATTTCTGTTCAACTATGCAAAAGGGAATTCGTCTGTGAAGTTTATATAAGCAATGTGGGGGCCATTAATTCTTCTAGCTTGTTTATAGGGGTTTAAATAATTTCTGGTTTGACTCACTGTCGGTCCCAAACTAATACAGAACAGCTGTCCAGTAGCCCTAACTGGTTTTCAAAGGTTCTCTAACTGATATCAATCCGTCGTCAAATCCGTACAAATTAACTCTTTCGAAAATCAGTCTGAAGCCCGTTGCTGATTGTCTACATGACGAATTTACCTAAAGTTCTAGTGAGAAGTCATGACCAGTGGGATTCAACAAGTCGGAATTGAGTAGAAATACTCGTTAAAGTCATGAATCCGTAGGAGTTGGAATTCATGGGTCACTGAATCAGTTCCCAGTGGTCTACTATCTGAACCTGAAACCAGAAGGCCCTGCATTTGAATCCCAATGGGTACGTACTGCTTAAAGTAGGATTAAACAGCTTTGACTACTCCTTGCTGGTTTTCAATCCCTGGTCAAACTTAAAACAAATACACATTCACTTTCAATGAATAAAAGTTTATTTTCTTTTTCTCAGTAAAAGATTGAACAAAACATAACCAAAAAATAATAACAATAATAATAAAGATAAAACAGGAGGCGAAGAGTATTCAATGCTTGTCTATCATACATTCTATCTACTTTATTTGATTTCTTCTTTATAGTTCACCCTTTAAATCAGTAGAAATTATTATTACTACCACTAGTATTATTATTATTTCATTAAGATAGATTTCACTTTGCCATACATTTCTGTCATTCAAAAAAGACAAAAATAAATAAATATTTATATATAAACCAAATAACAGACCAAGAAAACAAAAATAAACAAAACGGGAACATATACAAGGCTATAAAGTGTACAAAGACTAAAATTCGCCCATCGCCTCCTCCTCTCCACTACAACACAAGAAGAAGAAGAAGAAGAGGAAAGCATTCACAGATAGGTAAGTAAAAAGAGTAAGGCGCAAGGAAGGCAATCATCAGTGTAAGGGGACTTCTGCGTTTCTTTTCAAATCGCTTGGAATAAATGGGATATGCAGTTAACGTTTGTTTTGTTTGTTTGTTATTTTTTAAAAATGACAATTAGGAAAATTTAAGTTAAACAGGTAAGTTATACATATATATATACTCACTTGAATTCTTAGGGATTGGAAAAAAGAGTGGTAATGAGCAAAAGTTAAAGTTTGGAAGTATCTACAAGTATAAAAATATATACTGTACATTGAAAATACCCTACATTTACACGACAATATATATATGTATATTTCACTGTTACTGAACACTAGAATCCTGGAAGAAGACGAAGAATCATTTGAAGGCAATATGTATACACATATATACATACACTGAAGTAGTTACACCATTAATCATACTACTACTACTAATATCAGTAGTATTGTTATTGTTATTCAATAGTATAAAATAAAGAATTTCCACTTGTCTTAACATTGGTAGATTCAGTTTCAATCTTATCATTGGTGTTGGCGTCATTTTCACTGTGAGACTTCTCTTTCATTTTTTTACGAGCATTGGCAATTCGATCACGGGCAGCATTACGCAACTGAGTGGTTTTATTTGAGTGAATGTGTTTTCCAGGGGATTGTTTTTGCTAAACATTATTGGAAACAAAATGAGCAAGTGTAAATGAGTGTTTGATAAACATTTGAAGTAAAGAATGATTCTTTTAAATTCAAAAAATATACAAACAGTAGCAATACAAATGGTCAATGTGCATGAAATACTTACCAGATATCTTTAAAAAGAAAATTAAAAAAACTGTATTAGGGGTAGAATGCCCACCAGCTACACACGTCATCCAGGGTTCAACTTCTGCTCAACTCACTTCGAGACTTTACCCACGGGGTAGGTGAGCATAATCAACAAACAAGGTTTTGCACAAAACTGGCCATCCTAATTTGTAAAATTAACACAAACGCCACTGAAACTTCAAAGCTTAAAGCTTGAAGCCTCAAGTTCCACTGAGAACGCAAAGGAATGACAGATATTTCAATATCACACGTACATTCTTCATCTGGTGATTAGCCGCATTGTTGGAAAATCTCAACAACTGAAATAAACTGCTTTTGTCAGCTTACGTATTTTGTATCGCCGTCAACACATTTCTGTACTTTCCATTCATTAAAATATGTAAAAAAATAACAATTTCTCATTGCGCTAAGAATTAGGCAGTATCTTCTTATAAATGAAACTGTAACATTTACTTATACTCTTCCGGAAGTGATGACAAGTTGGACGAAGACTCCATTATTATTATTGCTCCTTTAGGTTCCGAGTGGAAAAGGAATTCGACAACATATCTCGAATCCATCATGTTCTCTGCAACCATCATTACTGGCTCAATGAATGCACATAATCTCTCATCTCCTAATCACATAATCTTTTCTATGTCACCCTCGAACTATCACCCAGAGCTTCGTTTATCATTCTCTTTCAACGAGAACTGTGCCCTACTGCATGATTTCACTGAACAGCCTCTTCAGTATGCGTCTGACCAATTTTCACTTCCTTCAGTATACTTGTGAACAACAGATTCTTAGTTGACTCATCTCCGGAGTTCGTAGTTGCTAATCCGTTCTGACCCACCATCTGGTTGTCAATAACAAACCAGCGAAAGTAGCCGTTGATAAAAGTCTACAGTCTGTTGGAAATGTTTCTCGTGACTGAGACTCCGTTAGCCTACTTTTAATCCTCAAAATCTATTTTCTGAATTCGATTAAGTCAGTACTGTGTTTTTATATATTATGACTTGCGAGGTTTCACATGGCAAGCCGTTTATACATACCGAGCACTAATTTGTTTTCATAAAATTGAAACCACTGTCCGCCTGGGAAGCACTGGCAGTACAAACATGAGTAGTCTTCAAATGCCACTCATAACAATCAGTAGTATGTATATTTTTTTATTCCTTGCATTTAAGGTGGATTATAAGGCTTCAATTGGTGTTGTATAGTACGTGGGATTCGATTGCTAGCCCCAAGCTAATCTTCCATTTTTCCTCACTTACCGTTGATTGGTGAAATTGGAGTGACTTAAGAACTAGGTCTGTTGGAAATCGAAAACGGGCCTCCCTCGTGGCTTACAACCATTTTACCATCAGTGAAATACTTTCTTGTAATTATTCTCGCTTCCGATTTCGAAATGACAGGTAAGACGCAACGGATCAGACTCACTTTGATATAATTTATATGTCTGGTCGTGGTTGGCAGTAGAACCCTGGATGTTGCAAATAGGATGGCTTTTGCGGCCTAGTGTATAATATTATGGCATCTAAACCGATGAACACTAGGTTCGAGTATTAGTCAGAACAACATTAATCACCAGGGAGCAAGTACATCCATCAGATGAGTCCCAAAATGTACCAGACAAGCTTCGTAGGTTCCAGTGCTAGACAGAACCAAACAGATACTTCCTTGATTGCCGTTCATGATGCTGAACATACTGCACATTTCTATATATGAATAAACTGTGCGTTTTCAAAGGGGAATTTGATGAGACGATGCATACTTTTAAGTTATTCACCCACAATATATTGGAAACATTTAAACCAAAACTGTGTTTATACAAATGGCGGAAACGAAGATCTGTACCTGAATGATAAATTGGATTTTGGAAACTTGAACAAACTTAGTAACCAAAAGGTCCTGGGTTTGAACCCTGACGGTCGGTGTGTACTGATAGAGAGTCCCAAACACTAGGACGAAACAGCTGTCCAGTAATCCCAGTTTTTCCAATGGTTCTCTAACTGATTTTAGCTTATGATGAAATCCCGTGACCAGTCAATCGAATCACTACAAACCAATACTTGATTTTAAGCTTTTTCGATTATTCCTATACATCTTATTATTTCTCATCATATTCGATGGTGTACAAATACATAAGAGCGTCTGCTACTAGAGGATATAGAACTTACTTTATTAGAAGCGGCTGTGTTTATATCCTTCCTAGGACTTCTTGTAGTCTCATTATCCAACTGTTTAGAACTTTCAACTTCAGATGTATGTACAGATTGATAACCAACAGATTTCTCGACAAAATTCTGTAATTCATTACGAAAATCTTTTGAAATCCAATCACATAATTGTGGAAATTGTGATTCAAAACGTCGATATTGTATTAAAATTAAATCCCAATAGCCTTCTAAATCACTTTTCAATGGAATGTAATCAATTGACTGACGTTTCTTTACTTGTGAATTTGCTTCTAAGTAGACTTTGCACAATTTACGCAGGGTTGTAAGATTTCCAGATATTAACATTTGTGCATGACCGATGCCTGTCAATAGTTCATCATTGTTTACTAAAGCATAAAAAGAAATGAAAACCAGAAAGCGTTTAAGATCAACCAGTTACTTTTTTTTAATATAAAAAAGAAATTTACGTTTTTGTACATCCACAAGTTCATCGAATAAGTGTAGCATCACATTAAGATATCAGAATACTAGACATTTTGCTGGTAATTTTCAAACTAATTCAATTTAATACTTTTAATGCAAAACACATCACTGGTCTAAACTCTGTAGAGTTCCTCTACTTTTTATTTCGATGTAAAGAGAGGCAGTTATTAAGGATATTTTGAATCGAATGAGTCTGATTCATTTCAAAGGTAATTATCCCTACTTAGTTCATCTCGAACCCAGTAATAAATGAGTATGCTGACTCAAATAGAATATTATTAATTTTAAAAAAGTATAGATGAATGACAATCAGTTTTTGCTAACATAAATTCTTATATTCAGTTGAATTTTAGATTTTCCTGTCGATTCATTGGACCGAAGTGCTCAGTCTCAGGTTGACATGTCGGCTTCTTGTGCAGATGCTTCGACGATGTCTGGAAAATCTAAAATTCAATTAAATAATTAACATGACCCATTGTACAAGAGGTGGCTCTCATGGCCTAGTGTATAACGCTTTGGCGCTTGAAACTATGGGCACTGGATTGGAGCCTCGGTAGGAACATGATCACTCACTGCGGAATGCAGGTACATTCACTGACTGACGAGTCCGAAATAGGAGGAAATGCGCATCCTGGATTCCACTGCTAGTCACCATCCACCAAATTAACCTATAAAATCTTATACTTTGTATAATTATTTCCCTACATAGACAAGAATAAATCAAGAAGAACATACTCTGACTGGATACTAAGTAGTTGTAACCAATGTTGTGTATCTAGTCCTTCGCTTAGTGCAGACTGAATTCTGTCAGTTTGTCAAGTATGCAATGTAGTCACCGTGCTAGTTTGCTTGCTATCACATTGCACTCTAAAGTGTTACTAGATGTGTGCGAGAAATCGGCAGGAAGCCTAGCACCTAGGTTTTATCCTTGCTGGCACTCATCAGCATAGCATATTCACAATAATGAAGGAACTCATAACACGTTTCAAACTTTACGGATAGAATTCAGTCTGCACCTATCCCTAACAATGTACTTCCAATTTAACGGCCAAATATACGAACACGTTAAAGGAACACCCATGGGATCCCCAATATCATGTTTAATTGCAGTAGCAGTGATGCAAAGGCTCGAAAACATAATCCTACCAAAGATCAAACCCAAACTTGGATACGTCACGTAGATGACACATTTGTAATAATCAAAAGAAACGAGTTGGATCACACTCACAACTTAATAAGCAAAGTCTTCGACGACATCAAATTCACAAGAGAATAGGTATCCGAGAGCAAAATCCCAATTCCGGACGTCTTAGTGAAGGGAACAACCTCAGAGAAATCGGAAACTCACGTTTATAGAAAATCAACTCAAACAGACTAAATACTCAATTACAACAGCAACAATCCAATAACACAAAAAAAGAATTGTATACAAAAACTATTCAATAGGGCCAGGACCCATTGCAGCACACCCCCGAACCAACTTAACAATTCAAAGGCCACCAAGGAAATCAAAAAGAAACTCTCCCTACCATATATAAAGGATATCTCAGAAATCACTGCAAGACACTTGAAACCTTTAGGAATTGACCTCGCACAAAAACCTAACAAAACCATTTCACTCAGCTATGTGTCAACCAAAAGTCTCAACAACGGAAGAAGATATAACCAACATCATCTACAAAATAAACTGCAAGGCTGCGTTAAACGCCATACTGGTCAAAGTGGACGTCCCCTCTGTCTTCGTATCCATAACATAAGCTATCCGTCAAAAGACATGACATACACTCCATCACTGATATCACTTCATACAGACAACCACGGACATCAATTCGACTGGGACAACCAACGTTCAAATATTAGACAGAGGAAACACCAAGAATGCTAGAGAATTTTTAGAAGCCTGGTACTCCAGTGAATCATCTATCAATAGACACATCGAGATAGACAAAATTTACCAACCGATAAGGAGGAAATCTCACACACAATGGGTCAAAGTTCAAGTCAATGAAACAATCAGTTCCAAAACAAGTAGCCTAGAGAGTGTGAAAGTACACAAAAACAACCAATCACGCCCAAGGTCACCATGAGAGATGACTAATAAACTCGTGGAGAAATCTAAAAGCTCACTTCAATTCGAATTGAAGTATGCACTGAAGATGTTGCCTAGTAGAGTGATGAAAGCTTCGCAAATTAACTATCCAGCTCAGAGAACACAACCGCATCAAAAATAAAATGACATCACTATATTCCGCTGGTTTGTATCAGATAGAAAATTCGAAAACAAAAATTAATTTAAATGTCATATTATTCGTAAAAACAATCTGTTAAATATACAAACTGATTAAAGATGCCTATCTGAAATTTGAAGTGATTGATTACTGAACAAAGAATATTCTTTTCGATAACCTGCTCTTCTTCATCAGGTTCTACAGTTACATATCCATAATAATGAAAGAATTAATGACAACATTAGTGTTTCTTAAAGGTAACATAGAGTCATTGACATCAGAATTCCAGAATCTGTTAGCAGTCTTTTAGCAAATAACTGTTAGAATTCTGATGTTAGTGATTCGATGTTTCCTTTTGTCAATAATATTAATTCCTTCATTATAATAGATATATAACCGCAGAACCTGAGGAAGAAGAGGTTATCGAAATACATAAACGTAGTAAAAGTATTCATTACCTGGATTCGAAGTAGTCGTTGTCACTGGAGTACCATGCTGTCCATCACTAGTCATGCTTGACACCTTGCCTTCTCCAGAGTCTGTATCTTTGTTCAATTCACTCTTAGCCATACTAATTACATTTACTAATTGACATTCAAATGTTTGTACATTCTTTAACAAATTAAACACAAAATCCACATCATCACTCATTGACAATTCTAGATCAGATCTATTAATTTCAGGATTTTTTACATATTCAATCCAATCAGATGGATTATTAGAAATTTCAACTCGATTGTGTACATCATTTGAAGAAGACGACAACTTTTTAATACGTTCACCATCTTCACTAAAACTTTGCGATGTTGAAACTGACGGTGAGATTGGTAACGAAAAATGTGGATCTATTGTAATCTTATTATTATTATTATTCTCTTGTTCCGTTGGTGAGTGTTCAGATTCATATAAAGTTGTAAGTTCTTTCTTGTTCGTTGACTGAGTAATTTCTGACTGACCAATGAGTTCACCAGCCTTATACAATGCTGTTGTTAATTTATCACGACGTCCAATAATACCTTTAGGTAAGAAGGTATTTAACGGCTGTCTTAATCTTGCTGCTTTTGCTTTAATGGCAAGTGCTGTATTTCTACGTTTAATTGGTGGAGTTCTCGATGGGATAGCTGATATTACATCACTGAATTTCTCTTTGCTTTTGTTGTCAACATTTTGTTTATCTAATTCGTTGAATTGTTCAATACTTTCTCCTGTTTCAGAACAAATGCTGCCACCCACCTGAGCAGTTTCGTCTGATACAGATTCATTATACTTCTTCAGATGTTGCACAGAAACCTTCAAATCCTGTTCTGAATCAGTTAAATTACTCTTATCTTTATCACCATCTGCAGATATCTCCAGGTTTTCTGCAGACTTCTTGTCACTTGACAATGATCCCTTCTTTTTATCATTCTGAAGTGGTATGAAAAAATGTTGAAATTAACCTTTCGGATGTATTAAAGGTAAATATTCAGCAGATGAATTAAGAACATGTTTTCACAAAGAGAAAAAACAAACTAGTAGCTATATGAAATAAAATTAGCATGTACTAATTTAGGAGATTTTTTAGGAACTGAGTGATTTGCTCACTAAAACAGAGTGATTTCAGTATGATGCTCACGTATCTTATAAATAAATAGTGTGATGGGAAATTCATGATTTCCCACGAAAATAATTTCATCTTCCCAAGTAAAGCAACGCTCAGTTTGAGCGAAATAAATTAACAGATTATCATGTTCGACCACAGATTGGTATCAGTTAGAGAACCATCGAAAAACCACGGAGTACTGAACAGCTGTTTCATCCTAGTTTAGGACTTACAGGCAGTGCACACCCACCACGATTAGAATCCAGGACCTCCTGATTATCAGGTAAGCTTGTAGACCATACAGACATTGGGACCCTATAAATCACCAGTTTGACTCGTAGTCTAAACACACTTACAGTTAACGCCATTTGTCTCCTCCATAGATCTGTGCCACAATGCAGAGAAGTGTCGTGTCACACAGTTCAACAATCAAATAACACATTCGGTGGATAAAATGACAAGGTATATCTTATGCCTTATTGGTGCCGCTGTTTCATTAGTTATACTATGAGTCAGTTCACATTGTACAACTCTCCTAATTCGGTTATTAACCTCATCTTGGCACTTATCCTCCAGATTTTGGAATCATATTCAAGGATAAAACATTTAGAAAAACTTCTGTTTGTCATTATCTTGACTGGTGTCAGTGTCTATTTCGCTATGAATTGTCAGCTGGATAGTCAGTCAAAGTGAGGAGAACTCAATGGTCATATTATTCTCCTTTTCTGATGATGCTATAAGAGTCGCTGTACTCCAACCCAAATGGCTGAACTACCAATTGTCTTTACGCGTAACCTGAGTGTGATGACGATACAAAGTTAGGTTAGAAAGGAGTTAACGGTTACCATTTTCTGAACATGCCATCAGTCTATGAAGTCTCTGTCTGTTGGTTTCAACAACTAATGAAGCCATAGACTGGATAGCCAGGGTTCTAGAGACTCTTAGAATTCATATTTGGAGACTGTTGATTATATAACTTAAAAATCATTCTCCATGAGACTGGCGCACTGATCTCTTCAGGCCTTAAGAATTCGGAAACTCGTCACTATTCTTAATTTATCTATGCTTTCTACTTATTTTAGTTCTAATCCATTTCTTGTCTTTACTTCTGTGTGTGTGCTCTTTCGGAATGCGCTTAGTTCATACTGATTTATTCATTGACACGTCAGATGAAAGGCTGAATATCATCTGAACAGTTGTTGATCAGACAGAAAAAAAAACAATCCAAATACAAGAGACTAGAGTATTTAGTAGAGCTGTGAATGTTTGAATTCTGCGCTGGATAAAAAGAGCTTACTTCCTTCACTTATTTGGCCAGAAAGTAAGGCGTAAACCACAGGCCAACAGAACCAATGAAGATGTCAAAGCTGACCAGCATCGGTAAGGCAAGATACACCCTCATTAGTCTGAAACCAGCTTGGAAACCTTTTCCACTAACTCAGCAAGCATATAGAACAAGATCCGGAATTCCAGTACAAATGTTAAATTAGTCACTTCTTCTATGCGTGTCAGAAACTTGACCAGCGTGTCACGAAAAGCGTTTCCTACAGACTACTTCGGACTGCCTGCATCGCTGGCTCCAAACTGAAGATAAAATTACCAACCGACCAAAAAGAATAAGCAACAAAAAACTATGGCTGGGAATGAACCAGCCAAGAGCTGACTGCTCAACAAATATGTAGGAGAAAATGGAGATTGGTCAGGCATACATTGAGGAGGCTGTCGAATGACATTGCGCTCAATGGAGGCCATCACTCGAGTGGGATCTCAATGAGAATCGATGAGTGGGTCGTCGGTGAAAGGTTAAAATCGAGGAGATCAGGTGGTGGGGAGGAGATGAGAGAGTTTTCGCAATCACGGACCCAGCTGAAGAGGAAGGAAGAGAATAGAACAAAGTGAAGGTGTGTTGTTGAAGCCCTATGTTCCACTTGGAACCCGAGGGAATAATAATAACTGGATAAAGAATAAATATCATGGCATTGTTCAGTTTAAAACTGTAATCCAAGTATTTATAAAATTACCACAATTATAACAAAAGGAATACTTCAGAAGTGTCAGCAAATTCGTAAATCGTATGTTAAATAATTGTAATAGAAGTCCATAGAAAGGTGAGTGGTAAGGTGAATAAATTATGACATCTCACTATTAACCAGATCTACCTTCACTTTGTATTAGTAACATAAAAGTCCCCGGTTAAATACAGAATCTTACAAGTTCGATCATGAGGTGATATCAATCAGGCAACTAATGGAAAACCTGACAGTACCAGATGGCTATTTCGTCCTAGTTTGGAACTCTTCAGAGAATACTCACCCACCGTGGTCCGAAACTAGGACCTTGCTGTTACAAGGCGAGCCCATACACGATTCAGCCACAGAAACCAGATCCAATGGACCATTGGAGTCCAAAAATGCTCTACTAACTTGCCTTATACCTGGAAGCTCCTGTGTTCAAAGTTTAGTGAACGCATAATACTAAAGATTCTCAAAGATAGGGATCGAACAGCAGCCCATTACTGTCTGGTTTTCCAGTGATTCTCTAATTGATGTTACCTCGTGATAAATTTATTATTATTATTGTTTCCTTTTAATTCCTAGAGGAACAGTGAGCTTCAGACGCACGTCTCCATTGCGTTTGGTTCTCTGCCAACGTTTTAACCTGGCTCCACATCTCCCCACATGCTTTCATCTCCCCTTCACATCACCTCCTCCAAGTCACCCTTGGACGACGAACTCGCCGCTTCCCTTTCGGGTTCCACTCGAGCAATGGTTTGTCTAGTGATGTCACTTGATGGTTTCCTCAGAGTATGGCCAATCCACCTCCGTTTCCTCCTGCATATTTGTTGCACATTCGGTTCCTGCTGGGTCGGTTCGTTAATTGCCAGAGATCCCTGTTACTGATCTTCTCTGGATGGCCATCTGATCTTCAGTAGTATTGAACGAAGACAGCTGTTGATGGAGGCCTGTATTTTGTTCAAAGTGCCATTCGTGACGCATCAAATCTCTGATCTGTATAGTAGCAGTGACTTCACATAGTCGAAAATTCGGATCTTATTTTCCATGCTGAGTGCTGTTGATCTCCACACAGACTTGAGGGTAATGAAAGCTTGCCTTGCTTTCCCAATCCTTGCTTTGATATCCTCGTCAGTTCCGTCCGCCTGTAGTTGAAACGATGCTTCCCAGGTGGGTAGGTAAAGGGGGTTGCTTCTTTCAGATTTCTTCTATTAATGCTGGCTGATTGTTATCTGTTGTTGTTGCTGCTGTTGCTGCTACTGTTGGCCAGGAATCTTCATCACCTCTGTTTTCTCTATGTTCACGTGAAGGTCTATCTTCGATGCTTTTTCTGACAACTAGTTGCTTTTCACTTGCATATCTTCCAGTTTGTGGGAAATCAGACATATATTATTATTTGTGAAGTCCAGATCCTACCTCGTGATCAAACCTATAACTAATCAGATGTCTGAAAACCAACGTCTGACTACTATAAAACACTAACAACTTTATATCCAGTTTTTTTTAATTATTTTTTATACTTTTTTCGCCTAAACACCACTCATTTATCCAAAATTTAGTAATTTTCCTGTCTTTGTTTTCGCAGAATATTTTCCTATTTTCACTACATTTAACTTGGAACAAGATTTATTACTGTTTTTCTGGCTAATATAATTACATAGTTTGCAAAATTTAATTAGCAGGCGAGTTGGATAAGTGAATTGTAGTAGTAGCAGTAGTGTTTGGTATTCATTTCTATGTCTCAGTATGTACTGATCACATAATAAAAGGGATTTAGACTTCAGTTATCAAAGCGATATCAACAGTTAAGTTTAGTGGTAAGCACAAAGGGATTTGAAAACACAGTAAAAATTAAGGTCTACTGAAACAAAATATTCAGTCTGTCACTTAGGCACTTTAGTATATTCAAATGAACTGTCGTCAATATTTGACAGAATAGTTCTAAAATATTTAGGCGCTGAGTGAGAAGTAGACATTTGAAAAAAATTATATTTGTAAAGTCTCAGCGAGATTGAAATAAGTAATACCAACGTTTCGTTCGGCAATCTGGTCCGAACTTCTTCAGGGAAATTAATCGAAATTAACATAACAGAGGTTTATATATAAAAGGAACAACTCTTGTTTTTAAAAACTTTGTCCAATCATGAGTCATTCAACAAGTATCAACAAGTATAATAAACACAATTTTATGAGCTGTGCTTCTTCTAAACTCTAATCCTAAACACCATAATTTTGAAAATACGTCTAATCATAAAATTCTAGATACTAACAGTTTAAACAGACATGAAGGCGTGATGTTAGCTGATGCATAGGAAATTCTTATTAATAAATAAAAAAATGGATATGTATCACTAATTATTAATACTTGGTCAAAATTCTCGACTGTCCATATCTTCCTATGAAGACGTTAAGAAATGTTTTACAACTGTTTACACATACACACACATACACACTCTGTTTAAAGTGTTTAACAAAGATAGACCAATATTTGTAAGTGCGGGGTCGAATTTTGATCACAGCTCATAAAATTTTGTTTAGTATACTTGTTGATACTTTAGTATACTTTCAATTATATCTGATATAATAATAAGGAAAATTTGTAGCTCAGGTGAATGATTTGAAATTATTAGTGTTCTCTGAGCTGGTCGGTAATTAGTTCAAAACTAGCAAAAGAAACTCTGCAATAATTGCTCTATAGAGACGAAAACATAAAAACGCAATTTTCAACTTGGATAGAACTTATAGAATTATGCCTTACAACATACATCCAATTCAATGCTCAAATATACGAACAGATAAAAGGAACACCAATA